TCAAGTTCATTTCCTACACTTTGAAAGGTTTTCAAATTGTTGGCTGTATCCATTTTGCATTCAAATAAAATTTGTATGCAGTACAAATTATGCAAGAAACGGTGTGCGCTCATCTATTAAGATTGAAGCTTGTATTTTGAGTGAAATTGAACTTCACCATTCAATTCTAAACATTTGTAAATGTAGGAAATAAATTTAAAATTTCAAAAAATGCTTAAAATCAGGCCGGTAAAAATCAATCAAAAAAACATTAAAAAAAGCCTGTCCACTGCAGTATTCAGTAACAAGCGCTGATTTTTATGTAAAATGGTTGTTACCATCATTTTTATCATGTATTAAAGTGTGGGAAATAAACTTAAAATGTCAAAAAATAGTGAGAAATAACATGTAAAGAATTAATTGAAAAAAGTGTCTAGTTTCAGTATTAAAAATGAACTGTTGAGTTTTAAGAAAATTGGATGTTACCATTAAATTCTACACACTTTTAAATGTATGAAAAAACTTTAAAACTTCAAAAAAGCATAAAAAATAAGGTACACACATGTATGCAAACAATTAAGTGAAAAAGTGATGAATTAATTAAAAAAAAACGTGTCAAATGCGGCATTCAAGGTATAGTTTTCATTTTGGGGAAAAATGGTTGTTACCATCATTTTCTACATGTCTTGAAGTGTGGGAAATAAATTTAAAATGTCAAAAAAGAATGAAAATTAAGCTCTAAAAATTTAAGTAGAAAAATGGGTGTAATTTGAGTATTAAAAGTGAACCGTTAAGTTTTGAAAAAATTGGATTGCGCCATTAAATTCTACGCACATTAAAACCTAGGAAATAAATTTAAAATTTCACAAAAGCATAAAAAATAAGGTACATACATGTATGCAAACAATTAATTGAGAAATGAGTGAAAAAAAATAATTAATAATCAAAATTCATTTTTATGAAAAATGGTTTTTACCATTAAATTCTACGCCTTTTATAGTGTAGGAAACAACTTTAAAAATTCAAAAAAAGTCAAAAAATAACCCATAAAAAATTAATTACGAAACCGCATCTAAAAGCGGAAACCGCGTGTGCTGCGGCGCATCAAAACCGCGTCAAAACGCGGAAAAACCGCGTTTTTTTATTAAGGCCCATAATAATAAATAACATTACTAAATACTTATCAACTTAAATATTACATACTAGTGTATGCCCCCAAATTTGGGGAGACTGCTTGTTTTTGCCCCGGATGTTGGGGGTTTTACTTGTTTGAAGGTCCTATGGTGTAATAGCCTTTGCTTTTGCAGGTCATTGTAATAGCCTTCACTTTTGAAGGTCGCTATGATTGTAAAGTCTTAGCAAATGTCGGAAATGACATTGAAATGTGCAACATTGACGCCAGCGTTAGAAGCCGCATGAGAAATCAATACAGATACCTATTGAAGGATGACGGCTTGTTTGGCCCTCTGAGGCTGTTTTTTTAGTTATATGGAGATAACAATATTTATTATGTAACCCAAGGGGGTTAAATTCTTTTGTAGAAACCTGGGCTAGTGCCTCAGTTTCTGACAATTGTGAATTGCTTCCTCATTTCTTTTTTTCATTTTACAAATGGATTTCAATTCTTTGTTTTATACACAAACAAATTCATGTTATTTACCCATTACAGAGCACAAAAAAGCAATATAGCAGGAATCAAGAGATAGAACAATGTAAACAAGCAAGAGAGCTAAGGAGTCAGCAAGAGAAACAAGAAAAGGAATGATGAGATCATCAAGTGTGGTGGATGATATGAAGATTGGATAGCAGCTCACAGTGCCATCCCACAATTGGAACTGACCCGCAACTAGAGATGGCCTCAGGGTATCCATTGCAGATACCTGCCATTACCAACGGATATCCGCCAGAGGATTTGGATTCAGGTGTGGATGCCTGATTTTCCACAAAATCTTGGCATGTATCTGAGTATCCCCAGGGATACCCGTCAGACGGACCCTCTTGACCTGGAGACTGTACCATCTTGAGGCTGACAAGGCACAACCTTGTTGACCAGAAGGTCTTCCTTCTGGCCAACAAGGTAAATGTGCCTTGTTGACTTGAAGGGTTTCCTTCCAGTTGACAAGGTTCATGTGCCTTGTTGACCAGGAGGTTTTTACCTTGTCAACTGGAAGGAAACTCTTCCAGTCAACAAGGCACATGTACCTTGTTGGCTGGAAGGAAGACCTTCCGGTTGATTGTTGGCCGCCCCCTCCAACCACCCTAGGTGTAAATTCAGGGGCAGATATCTGAGGATGCCTGCTGTGGCCGATGGATACCTGCCAGTGGATGCAGATGCCCAATTCTGCTGAAAAAAGTGAGCGGATATCCGGATGCCGCAGAGCCATCTCTACCGGCAACCCCCGTAAAATGCATCCTTCCAGTCAACGAGGTACATGTACCTTGTTGACTGGAAGGAAACCCTTCCAGCAGGTGAGGTACATCTACCTTTCCAACTGGAAGGAAGCCCTTCCAGAAGGCAAGGTTCATGTACCTTGCCAACTGGAAGGAAACCCTTCCAGCAGGCAAGGTACATGTACCTTGCTGGCTGGAAGGAAAACATTCCAGCCGGCGAGGTCATGCCTTGCCACCCATTTAAAGGGCGGATATCTGTGGATACCTGCTTGGATACCCACTGTGGGCAACAACCGGCCAGCAGGTGAAGATGTGGATGTGGATGCCCAATTATGCTTAAAAACGGAGGGGTTATCCGCATCCGGGTGGATATCCGGATGCAACGGTGGGCCGCTACACTAACCGTAGCGGTTAGTGTAGCGTAACGCAGCAGAATTCCCGTTAGCGTTAAGTGTAGCGTAGCGGAATTCCGCCATGACACCGCTAACGCTACGCGTGTGGGCCACAAAAAAGGGCCCACTACGCTGCGCTACAGCGGTTTTTAGCCGCTTTTTCCGCTAAAAGCGCTGTAGAGCAGTGTAGCGTAGCAAAAATGCGCTACAAAAGCGCTAACACTACAAAATTTTGGCGCAAAAAAAGCGCCGCTACGCTACACTTTTTGGGCCAAAAGCGTAGCGGCCCACCGCTGCCGGATGGCGCAGGCCATCTCTAGCATCTTCATTGATTTTGTGGGAACATTGTAGGTGGTGGCCCACTTTGACATGATTCTGATGTGTATGTAGCTCACTTTGATATGATTTTGATTTGTATGTAGCACAAATCCATCCCAGCAGTGGAGTTTGCAATCAATGTAGCACTGAATGTGGTGACTGGTCTCTCCTCATCAAGCTGACATTTGGGTGCAACTTGCAAGCCTTGACAGTTACCATCAGGCACTGGGACAAAAGCACTGCCAAAGGAGTTGTATTGGTTACAACCCCCCGTGGTGGAGTCCAACAGAGGCCAACAATGTAAAACCGGTCTGGGAGACCGATTCTATATTGGCTGGGCCACCCGATACATTAGGACAAAGGGGAAATGCATTGGTGGGCCTGGCCGATATAAAATCGGTTGGGGAGACCAATCCTTTATCGGCCGCCTCCGACCAACCTTACCGCGGGGGGTTGTAACCGATACAACCCCTTTGGCAGTGACACATGGGCCTGTACAGAAGTACCCTTCTGCTGAAATCCTGGCTACAGAAATCAGAGGGAAACTGGGCATCTGTGTGGGACCCACTTTGTGCAAGCTGTGTAAAGCAGGTGACCCAGCATTACAAAAAGCAACAAGAACAACCCACATTACAGCCCAACTCCTGGGTGCTTCTTGATGCAGCAGACTGGAGGGGTAGACATCAAGGAGGTTTGAAAAATTCAAGCAGTGGCTCAAAGATCCCTATTGTGTGATTAATTTTTTCAATCATGGCCAAATTGTGGAACATGAGCTACCAGAGGCAGACCAGCAACATACAATCTGTCACATCTTTAAGGTGAAGCCTTGTTGGACAGTGGAAAGTAGCAAGGACCCATACTTTTCAAAGCAAGTCCTATTCCTCTGGTGCACCATTGGACAGCTTCTGCCATAATTATAATTCAAAGACAACTCTGTGGCCATACTGTGGATAGCTCTGATCCTTTTCTTTGCTCTTAGTCACAAATGTACATGCTCACCAAAAATTGTGGACAACATCTACTCGCAATTCTCATTCCTCCCATACACCCTAACCTATATTCTTTCCCCCCCCATCTCTTGTGCTGTTGATTTACCTTCCCCAACAATTCCTCATTATTCCTATGATTCCATTTTTGACCTTTTACTTTCTGCTCTTTCCTTTCTTTCTTCCTTTCTTCTTTTCTTCACTCTTTCATTTTTTTCCCTTTGCTTCTCTCATTGCTTCCTCTTCACTTTTTTTCCTTTTCTTTCTTAGCTTTGTTTCTTTTTTATAGGGGGGTTGGGGGGAGAATGTGAAACTCCCAGTGTCAAGTTCCCCTCCTATGTAGCCCGGTAGTGATTCCTTGGAGTTGGACCATCCTTCTCTCCTTCGTGCAAGGTAAGCATCTTTCATTTCTCATTCCTTCTTCCTCTCTCTTTTGGTCTTTCTCTCTCTTCAGTCTTACTATAGTACGAACGCATAAGAGGTCTCTCGGGCCCTCTTTCTCTCTATTTCGCTAGCAAAAGCGGGTTCCAGAATTAAATATATCCAATTCCAAGGCCGCTTGGCTCTCCGGCCAGATTCTCCTCTATCCATCTCTGTTTGTGTTTGTTTTTTTTGGCCAATGCAGTGCTCTCCTGAGAGCTTCAGACTGCCGAGCAACCCGATACCCCACCAACTTTTTGCTAGACGAAACAAATTGCACAAACATCGTTGACGACTTTGTTGCCTAATGCCAGCTTACTCACCCCGTTTTCGCCGGCCCAACATTTCCACATTGGCCAACAGTCTGTCTGTAGATTTTCATCTTTAGTTAATGCAGAGCTCTTCAGAGTTCTTCAGAATGCAAAGCTTGTTCACAGCACTCCATCAACCTTTGCTAGACTGCATACATAAACAAACATGTATGATGTCCCAGATTTCTTTTGCCTTTCTCTCCGGCCCATTTTTCCACATGGGTGAACACCCATAATCATTCTCTATTTCCATTACAATTCCTACGGTGCAAGTTAAAATCCTTCCTCCTACTTCTTCGATGCAGTTCATAAATCGCTTCGCAGCTCTTGCCCGGCATCTAGGTCTGCTGCGATCAGAGCCCGCTGATTTGCTTGATTTTGATTCTGAAGATCGCACTCAAAGAGAAGACGCCTCATCATCATTGAATAATGGAGAGCCTGAGTTGGAGACCTTTGAGTTCAAAATATTTACGCCTTACGACGATGACGATCGGATGTGTGAGTCGATCTGGTTGATGGATATGAACACGGCGAAGGTTTCCGTTCCTGACTCCATCTTGTAGCTCAATTTGCGCGTAGCAATCCACAATCGAGACCAGCACCTGTTCCACTTTTCAAACCGAACGTTTACGATTATGATTTCTCCCAACCAAAGACCAGACCAAGAGCCTACTCTGACGGTTTCCTCAAGTTCGAGGAGGGACTTCATGATCCACTGGTTCCTCTGCGCAACCTTAAGAGGTCTGCCTCTGTTGATAGGGTCTCGGAATTTCGACTCGCCAACTCGGGTCAAGCGGACGTTCCCCACATATCATCTCTAGAGCTTCCCAGTAAGCTGAAGGGCCACGGCGATCACAAAAACCCACTTTCGGATCTGCTTTCAAAACCATTGTCCTGGACGGACAGTATCGAGTCTGTCTCCCTGAATCCGGTGGTTTTTCAAGTCAAATATGAGGCAGTCCCAACACTAGTGCCCTTAATTAAAGATATTAACCTGGCTGGCGGCAGGTATGATCCCAATTTTTTTCTCCAATATTTTTAAACACGAAAACTTCTTCAGTACGCGTTGTTGCATACATTTTTACCGACTGAGAACTGGATTCTTCTTATCGCCAAAAAATGAATTTCTGTTTACAGAGTACTCCTAACCAAGACACAATATCGGCCCTTTGAGAGTTCACGTTTGGCGCCGTTTCCCAGCTGTTTGATAGGTGCTATACCTTCTGTGTGGCATCGCTCAAGTCTGAGATGAGAGGGCTAACTCCTTTAATTTGCAACCGCGATAATACTTGAAAAAAACACACAAAAAAAATCAGGTTTCCATGTAGTTGTCGACCCCCATCCAGGAACAAGAGTCAAACACCTCAACATACGTTTATCCCTCCAAAGCCACCCTACCGAACATGACAGCAAGCCACCCGTCATCCAAGTTGAATCCTGACCATTTCCTTTCCCAACTCGCTGTTTTCCCGTTTGCGAACTTTGCTGATTTGGCCTGCCCATTCACCCTCATTCTTTGCTTATATGTACGTCTTTTGGTCCCTTTTGAAGGCAATCTATCCCCGTGATGGTGAGATTTGTGAAACTGGCGAGAGAAGCCCAGTTCATATAATGCAGGACAGGTCAGTTGGACTGCAATTAGGAGTGGACAAAGTAGGTTGTCACAATTGAGATTCAATAAGATTTCCTTTGACTCAAATGCTTCCTTTTCCCTTTCAATCACTACAACGTTACCAACCAAATCTCCCGTGTGATGTTGTAATTTACTGACGAATCATGGGAGCAACCAGTATGGCACGGTACAATTCCATCGTGGTCAATCGATAGCATATGACAGTTTTACCGTCCCATATGTCTCAACATCGGGAGTCCATACCTCATTGCTCAAACTTACGATGTCCGAAGACCGTCGCTCAAAATCTGGGGTAGTGTGCGCAACCAAGTTCTTTCTTTCAAATGATTATGTTCTCCGAACCAAACCCATGGCTTATGTATTGCCTCTGGTGACTTCCTAAAATGCATCACTGTGTCATACACTGATTAAAAATGGATCAGTCGGTCTTTGTACTTTGCTGCCCTGCTGAAGCTTGACATCTCGGCCCAAAAGCCCTTCCAAGCTACGATGGAGCTCGACACCAAGCCCAGGGAAGATCTTCCTTGGAGCTGGTGGTTCAGTCAAGGGTGGGTATGAGATTCGTGATTTGAAGCCCTGCAGTGCAATTAGCTTCTGATCGACTCTGAAAATCAACGATGTTATATCCATCTTAATTTTAATGTAACAGGACGTGGAATTTAGATTATGATGGTAAAAGCGAATTTGGTCCATTTGTATTCAGCATGTACGTCTCCTGAGCTGGTTTTAGTCCCTAAAAAGATTTCAATCTCTGCACCTCCATAATGTTGTATGAGGAGGAATATGATCTGACCAGCAACACATTTGTCTCCACAACAGGGAAACGATCCTAAAGAGAACAAATGAGGAAACATACCCACAACCTATTCCCACTCAGTTACTCATATATTCTGCCCTTTTTTGTGCTTTCATACTTGTGTGCGGCTATTTTATCTCTTTCCCCAAGAATCAATCGAAATGAGCCACCAGGCTTTATTTTTATCCACCTTCTCCTTTCATCTATCATAACAAAAGAAATGATGGATGAACGGAGAAGGTGGTTGATCTTTAGTTTGCTCAGTTGTATGTAATGTATCGTCCACAAAGCAGGAAGACCATGGGGGGAAAGATGGTGTTATGAATAATAATACATAAATATTTATGTGTGTTTAGACATTTGCTTGATACATAGAGTGAGGGTGTTCTGATGAGACCATCTCCACCGCCGGTTGCCATCAGAGTTGCCAAATCTCCAAGTTCGGCAACTGCGCCGCGCTTTTAGCAACTGGAAGCCGATTGATTTTGCACCGCGAGTTGCTCAAGATAGCAACTGTGGAACGTGAAAGGTTCCCCCGGGGATCCAATCCTTGCTCTACCAACCCATACCGGACACACATAGCTACCGGTACCGGTCTTGAAAGTATGTATAACTCTCAAAGACCAGTGGTACCGGTCTTTGGGAGTGTACGTTCTTCAGCGACCGTTCCGGTCCTTGAGAGTGTACGTTCTTCAGCGACCGTTCCGGTCCTTGAGAGTGCGTGTTCTCCAGCAACCGGTACCGGTCTTCAAGAGTGTACACTCTCTAGTGACCGGTACCGGTATTTGAGAGTGTACACTCTCTAGTGACGGTACCGGTATTGGAGAGTGTACACTCTCTAGTGACCGGTACCGGTATTTGAGAGTGTACACTCTCTAGTGACGGTACCGGTATTTGAGAGTGTACTCTCAAGACCGGTACTAGTCTTTGAAGTGCCTGGTGAGTGGGTGTCGGGGGATATGGGGACAGAGGAGGGAGAGAATCACAGGTGAGATCTGTGATACTTGGAAGGTCGGGTTGCTATCCAGTTTCTATGTTTGGCAACACGATAGCTCCTGGAGGCCGAGTTGCTATTTTTTTTGAGCGTTTAGCAACCGCGGTGGCGTTGCTAAATCGGCCTTGGGTTGCTATAATGGGTTTAGCAACCCGGTTTAGCAACCCGCGGTGGAGATGCTCTGAGATGATGAGTCGGTCTTCTTCTGGAGTTCTTGATTCCCAATTCTGGAGGACCGATCAGATCAGGAGCCCTATATAACATAAGCCAGTTCATGCGCCTAAACTCAGCAGGAGAAAAGGAGGAACACCTTGCCACGAACTGAATCCGAATTGAAATCGAGCTGAAGAAGGTCAACAGGCTCATGAATATGTAAATACAGCCTCGGAGCTTCGATCGAAGAACAAATTAAATTAAAAACAAAAACAAAAAAACTGTGAGTCGTCTTATACCACCCTAGAAACCTCAGCCTCAGTAAACTCAACACTCAGGTCAACAACCGACATCCATCTTTTCACTCGGAAACACCAATCTAACTTGCCAGCAGTCACGGAAGAAACGATATAAAATCAAAACAATGTCAAGCTGTTCGGACGAGAAGATAGAAACCAAAGCGCCGGTGCTGATCGAGACCTTACCGGAGCTGGTCGAGGATGATAACCAGCTGATCAAGATCGGCATCGCCGCCATGGATCGCAAGGCCAGATCCAAGCCGATGCGTAACATTTTATCCAGACTCGTGGCTACCAACAAATTCGAATGCATCATCTTTGGCGATAAAGTGATCCTGGATGAAGGTCTTCATTTTACTTGACAAATCCCTTGTCTCACTCGACCCCCTTGTATCATTCACTAATTCATGGCCATGGTTTCTTACTTTTCTGAAATGTCAATTAGACGTCGAAAATTGGCCGGTTTGTGACTTTTTAATCAGCTTCTTTTCGACTGGCTTTCCGATGGATAAAGCTATACGATACGTGAATCTGAGGAACCCGATCCCAATAAATGATCTCCCCCTGCAAAAGGTATGTCAGATTGGCCTACTCAAAATTTCTCAAAACCTGAAGCCAACATCATGTGTCTCTTTCTTTGCAGCTTTTCTGGGATCGTAGATTAGTGCTAGCAATCCTAGATAAAATAGAAGTCCCGACTCCCAAAAGATGTGAATTAAACCGCGATGGAGGGCCGAAGGTAGATAAGGAGGTGGCGAGTGAGATCGAGCGTCGATTCGGATTGAAGCTCAATGCCCCACGTCCGCCTCCTAAATCGTTTCAAGTCCAAAACGACTCGGCTCTGCTGATCGATGGTATCAGGATGGAGAAACCGTTTGTTGAGAAACCCGTTAGTGGTGAAGACCATAACATCAATATCTACTTTGGCGGAGGTAATGGTGGCCGGAAGTTGTTTCGCAAGGTGCGCAAGTCCCCCCTATTTCTCATCCTCTCATTTGAATATGTGGCGTTGGGCTGTATTCCATCTAGGCGACTAGGCACTTATGTCCCCCCCCCCAAAAAAAAAAAAAAAAATCCTCCACAATATCTATATATCCAGATTGCAAACCAGTCCTCAATTCTTGATCCTGAGCTATCAGATCCACGTACAGAGGGCTCATTCATATACGAGCAATTTATGAAGACGGACAACTATGAAGACATCAAGATATACACCCTCGGCCCGGATATCGTGCATGCGGAGACCCGCAAGTCGCCGGTAGTCGATGGGATTGTAAAGAGAAACTTGGACGGAAAAGAGATTCGGTATGTGGTCGAGTTGACCCCCGAGGAACGCGAGATCGCTCGCAAGATTAGCACGGCTTTTAGTCAAACCGTATGCGGCTTTGATATCTTGAGAGTCAAGGGAAAGAGCTACGTTATCGACGTTAATGGGTGGAGCTTCGTCAAGGGAAACGATAGCTATTAGTTGAGCATTTTTGATACATCTGACCTTTTTCTTGTGGCGCATCGGCAGGTCGGGCGCATTATTTCATCATGTAAATGATCTGACCTTTTTCTTTTCAACCAAATGTCTACATGATGATGCACAATAGTGATAAATGTGCTGACACGTTGGCCAAGTTTTGCTTGAAAGCAATGCCCTCATTGACGCTTCCATCGCCCAACCCCCGTCAAGATTCGAAACAGAAACCGACAGTCTCTTCTTGGAAACTTAAAGCTATGATCTGTGTTTTCCGCCATGCCGATCGGACCCCTAAAAGTATGATATCACTTTTCTTTATCTCTTTGTTCTTTATTTTTTTAGATCAAGCTGGTTTTCCCGAGAATTTTGATCAGACTTACAATGGAGCTAAGGCTGGCCTTCCGCACGGGGCTCCAAGTATTACTAACTACGGGCCCCTCTTGATTATCTCTGTTTCTGCTTGCTTTGCTATGGCGTACCCGTAAAGATCAATTGGTGTCATTGGGTGCTACAATTTTTGCTAATCAACAATTTTGCTTTTTTTTCAGATAAGTTGAAGTTCAACTTTACTGCAGACGAGCCTGGTTCTCAGCCATTTATCAAGCTTTTACAGGGAAGAAAAGGTCAGTACGATTTCTTTGCCGGACGAAAATCCCCTACCCAATACTTCAGTTAGGCTGAGACATGAAAACCTATCTTTTCAGACGAGATTATTCTTCGTACCAGTGATCATTTACAGCTGATTGCCAGTGCGACTGATGAAGCGATCACGATTGACAACTCGGACCAAAGCAAGCTAGAACGACTCAAGCTGATTCTTTCCTCCAAGATGGGCAAGCAGGGACTCAAAGCTCAATTGAAACCTAGCTTCAAAACCGAAGATGGCTCCTTGGAGAAAATCACCATCGTCATCAAGTGGGGCGGCGAATTCACTCATGCGGCTCGATATCAGTCTAGGGATATTGCTGAAAATTTCGCGAAGGATTTGAGAGTCATGAGCAAGTAAATCGCTCGATTTCTTTTTTTGCAGCCGGCCTGATGATTGCTCACATTTCACTGATCCTGTGGTACGCTATCTCGAAAATAGAACTATGTTGGACGACGTGACAATATTTACTTCATCTGAGTGGGTCTCTCGTTTCATGACAGTAGTCATAAGCCTTTGGCTCACAACAGTTTCATGCTTGTTCTGGACATCCAGGGGAAGAGTAGTTGCAACTGCTGAGATATTTAGCGCGTTAGTAGTCTATCCCTCCATCGTAGATGAACAAAAATTATCGAAGTCTCTTAGCTGAGCTGGTCTGTATATTTTCCTTAGTGGTTTGCGGGAGGCTTGCAAGGCCCATAGTAAAACGGAGCCTAAGACAATCCCCCTGGTCACACGCAAGGATCTTCTAGATGACTCCAATGCTGCCAAAGAGCCAGTATGTAGCCCAATTTCTCACATTGCTCCATGCTGATGAGCATGTATGATTGACTTGATTTCGCTTACTTTTCTTCAACAAATGTGCTAGATGGATCGGGTCAAAAAACGATTGAAAGTGCTTCTGAGACATAATCAGGGAATCGAAGTTGATTGGCCGATTGCAGACAAGGAGCCCTTCGATGTGAGTATTTGCTCACAAAATCATTCTTGCAGTGAAGGTTGTCTCATGAGCTTGGATGCGAGTTTTGATTTTTGTTTTGTTTTGGTTCTGGTGAGTAGGTCGTCCAAGAAGTGATTGCGATCTTAAAGGAACAGCGTGATGTGATGCACATGAATTGGGAAAAAATAGATGTTGAACAGATTCAATCACGTTGGTAAGCTTAGGATATTTGAACAAATGCGCAGATTAAATTAGCGGGATCCATTTGGTTGTTGCACCTCTGAATGTCCCTCACGTTTGGTTGTCTTCCTCGAATTGATAGGTGCTGTGGCGAGTGTCCGGTTTTATTCAAGGAGCGCTGGGACAAGCTATTTAGCGACTGGTGCGATGGTGCACTTGATCCTTCAAGAGTTTGCGAATTATACGATTCATTGAAGTATGACTCCCTACACAAGTAAGCACATTCTTAGTCAAAGATTTCAAAACGGCCCGTTGAGTAATTTCCTATTTATGCGGCAGTCGGACATTCTTGGAAACGATTTTTTCGAACTCTTCGACATGGCCGTCCCCAGTATGCAGCGATGCATCATCTCCTCTGGCCATGCCTGGTTCAGCACCATCGATGATGTCTTCCGGCTCTTCATTCTCTTCCCACCAACATTTCAACCCGATCGGTCTAATCCGAAGTGGTGACTCATCGCCTACGCCAATTCCGACTTCGGCAGTCTCGCTTGCTCACCATCACCATCCTCGACAAGCTTCGCTCAAGTATTCAAACCCGCAAAGTCCGGATGGAACTATCAAGGATGATGATGCTGGTTGGTGCGAGACAGAAAGCTTGCAGCGCTTGAGGAAACTTTACAAAGATGCAAAGTTACTTTTTGATCTTAGTTCGTGTCAACAATCTAAATCAAATTTTGCATTGTCAATTGGTCTTGTTTTTCCATGTTTATAATTTCCTTTTTCATTACAGTTGCGCCCCAGGAATATGGAATCGACCAAAGCGAGAAACGTGAAATCGCTCTGTTGACATCCTTACCTCTCTTGCAGAAAATCGTGAACGATTTGAATGCAGCTAAAGAAAGTCAAGGAGGTCTTGCTAGATTCTATTTTACTAAAGAGTCACACATGTAAGATTTTTTCTCGTTTCTCATCAATCTTAACTCGCCTAATTTGCATTTCTTATTCTTTTTTCGACGTATTGATAATTGTTCCCCATTTGATCAACATCCGTCGCACTCTCCAAACGATAACTTACACATAGGCACACCTTAGTCAATTTAATCAAGCTATCCAAATTGAAACTAGCTCATCGAGACGTGATGGAATTAGATTACATGGTAAATTCAACCGCAGAGAGAAAAGCCAGGATGTTAACGGACTGTTGACGAAGGTGTTTATTCTGTTACTTTTTTTCTTCCCCAATTAAAAACATCAGGCTATCTATGCTTCGAAGTTTACGAGCGAATTTCAGAAGTAGAGAAAAGCGAACATTCTGTGCGAATTTCGCTGTCTGAAGGCGCCCATGGAATCCCACTGGACACTAGTCTGGATGCCAAACACGCTTTGCAAGTGATCCCACGAAAGTAAATGTGCTCGGAATTACTATTACTGTATGATCATCGATGTGATAGCTCAACGGGTGTTGACTCTTTCGGTCACACAGACAATTGATTCCTCATAAAGACCTTGACGAAGTGATCGCTAGCCTAGAAGATTGGGGCGAGAATCTGTTCGAACTGAAGAAGAGTACGACCCCGTATGATGGCTTCTTACCGCTCGAAGGCGAAGACATCTTTTCCAAGGAAAGCCTCAAGCTCTCTCCACAACCTCAGACCAGCTCATAATCGACCCGGGCTCGACGATCACAAATAGATTTCAAATTCCTCACATCCCTGTATTCTGTATTCGTTTTTCTATCATCTTCTCTTACCTCCCGCAGCACACCACTGATCATTATTATAATCATTTTCTATTGGACCAATCGTCCCTCGCATCTAATTCAACAAGTCACTCGAATCCATTTCAACAATTCTTTGCGGATTGTGTACATACACAGATAGAAGTCTACCCTAACCGGCACTCCGACTTATTCTTTCTTCCTAATATAATAAATGTATCTTCGTCTTTCTCCCGCGTTTACTTATTCATCTTTGTTGTTACATATTGTTTGTCAAACTGTTTGACGATCATGGGAATTCGATTCTGGCTACGTGCTCTGTCGTGACAGGTATGGGACATATGGCCGAGTGGTCTAAGGCGCTAGCTTCAGGTTCTCATCTTGACTCGCTAGTCTTCGGGCGTGGGTTCGAATCCCACTGTGTTCACATGTTTTTAACATTTGCGGAGTGAAACACTGAGCAGACAACAGACCTTTTTGGCCAGAAGGCTGTTTGGATACACTATGGGGGCACTTTTAAGGTTTGGGTTTGCAAAAGTTGCAAAATAACTTCAAAAGCTTGACAAGGTGTTTTCAAAAACTTAAGCAACTTTTGCAAAAGTTTTGTAAAAAAGGCAAAACAAGTTGCAAAAGCAGCTTGTTGAGGTTTATTATTCTGGAACTCTGATTTTTTATGGGGATTGTACCAGATCAAAACCTTGAGAGGCTTGCTTTCACAATAATCTTCAAAATATGTTGCACAAATCTTTCACAGGATCTTTCACAGATGAGATGCCCCACCTTCCTTGGATGAAAAACACTCTCAAGAGATATTACAAAAGTCCATGATAATTTTGCAACTCTTGCGTAACTCTTTTGCAGAGTCATCTTTTGATGGATGCCAAACCCATTTGGGCTCTGGGAGGAAAACACCTCAAACAGTCCGCATCACCCATGTTTGACCCCGACTCCATTGAAAATTCATCTCAGGATACAAAGTTCACCCCATCCCCCCCTGTTTCATGCCCAAACCTCACTCAATCCCTCATGTGTCTCAAATCATTCATCTCATCCCACCCAAAAAAAAACTTCTACCCACCCAAAATATGTGATACATTCTTCCCCATCAGCCTCATCATCCCCGTCTGTATCCTTGATTCCTTTAATAGCATTATCTGCACAAGCCTCTAATTCAAATTGAAGGTGAGGCCTGTTTTAAAAGGATTGCCCTGACTTTAATTCATTGTTCTTCCAAATCAAAACTAGTGATCAAAGCTACAGCAAAAGGGAATGCAAGCAGCGGTGGGCCGCTACGCTACGCTACGCTTTTGGCCCAAAAAGCGTAGCGTAGCGGCGCTTTTTTTTCATCCAAAAGCGGTAGTGTTAGCGTTTTTGTAGCGGTTTTTCGCTACGCTACGCTGCGCTACAGCGCTTTTAGCGGAAAAAGCGGCCAAAAACCGCTAAAAAGCGCTGTAGCGCAGCGTAGTGGGCCCTTTTTTGCGGCCCACACGCGTAGCGTTAGCGGTGTCGTGGCGGAATCCCGCTACGCTACGCTAAAGTTGCGTGGAATTCCGCTACGTTACGCTGCGCTAACCGCTACGGTTAGCGTAGCTGGCCCAGCGTTGATGCAAGGCTTATGAACCCATCAAGTGGTTCTTAGAGATGTCATCAGGTACCTGTTTTCCCAAAGCAGGTACCCCGGAAAACAGGTACCGGTGCGGGTGCGGGTGTCCAACATGTGCGGTAAAAACAGGTGCGGGTGCAGGTGCGGGTGTCAACATTTGCGGTAAAATGGGGAAGGAAGAGAGTAAATGTGAAAAGAATATGGAGGAAGAGAGAGATTGATTGAGAAAAATATGAGGATAGAAGATAAGTGAGCAGCAAGCGGAGAATAGAGATGGTCGCGGATAATCCGCTGCAGATATCCGCTATCCGCTGGCGGATACCTGCCAGCGGGTGCGGATGTCCTTTTCCCCCCAAAATCCTGGAGGATATCCGGGTATCCCAAGGGATACCCAGTGCCAACCTTGGCCTAGAGAGCCCATGCCGTCGGGAGGGGTTCCTCCCGGCGAGGTGGTACACAGACCAGCTCGTCGGAAGGGATTCCTTTGGACAAGCTGGTGCTCTCGTTGGGAGGAATCCCTCCCAACAAGCTGGTGTACATACCAGCTGGTGGGGAGGCATTCCTCCCGGCGAGCCGGATTTTAAACCAGCTCGTCAGGAGGAGTCCCTCCTGGCAAGCTGGTACAAAGACCAGCTCGTCGGAAGGGATTCCTTCTGACGAGCTGGTGCTCTCGCCGGGAGGGAGTCGGACTCCTCCTGAAGACCTGGTTTGAAATCCAGCTCGCTGGGAGGAACCCCTCCCAACGAGCTGGTATGTACACACTACACCAGCTCGCCGGGAGGGATTCCTCCCGGCGGTGTGGCCTTTCCTCTCTAGGCCGAGGGGGGCCAGTTATTGTTCTTTTCTTGTTTTTTGTAAAAAAAATCCCCCTCGCCGGCGTCAACCAGTAAGAGGGTGGGTATCCGCGGATACGGATATCCGTGCGGATACCCGCAAGCGGATGCGGATGCGGATGCGGATGCCTGATTCCGCTGAAATTGTCAGCGGATATCCGGATCCAACACGACCATCTCTAAACGGGACCATCTCCAGTGGAGGAGAGAGTACAAAGAGCCAAGCTGAGCAGAGAGCAGAGAGGGGTCAAATTCCAACAGTTTGGCATAATTTTGACTTTGGAATTGTCCCATTCAGGCAATTTGGACCCTTGGCAACCCAGGTGGGGTACAGGATGTCCAACGGGGAGCTGGTCTGACTGCTTTCCATCAAATGGCTGGACCGGTACCTTCTGACAATCTACAGAGCTTCCAGATATGAATATCATTGCATCAGCATACATCCAACTTTGATTCTGGATGCACACAGATTGGAAAATCCAGGGAAAATCCACCCAGATGTGAAAAGGGTTCTGAGAATGGCTGTACAAAAAATAATGTATGATGATGTCATTCCAATTGCTTGATTGATGTGTGATGAACCAGACACAACAAACCACCCCAACACAGCATAGTGCTTGTTTATACACACACCCCTGCATTTGGTTGGTAATATCAGAAGACTGCTCATAGCAGGTTTCCTCTGCACCAACTAACTAATGCACCAGCTGGTGTAAACCATTATCATTCAAGTGCCCAGATCATTACTATCATTTTTAACATGCTGCTGCTGTATGTAGGGTTAGGGAGTGGCTGGACCACTTCATAAACCTGCTGTTGTCTCTTTGGGTTTTTACTCTCATCTACACATTTTGCACAAATGCTCTTCTACAATGAAACAATACAGCTATATCAGTGAAAAAATGAAGGGAAAACTTGGTTTGACAAATAAAAAAATGAACACAGTGGGATTCGAACCCACGCCCGAAGACTAGCGAGTCAAGATGAGAACCTGAAGCTAGCGCCTTAGACCACTCGGCCATATGTCCTTTTCCATGCTCACGGGGAGTATATTTCGGCCCCGATCCCGTATGGACCCGTCTGGTTGCTGTTCAATGTCTACAGGGACCGTTGAGTCAAGTACCGGATGGTTGATGAAGATTGGGAGAGAGCTGACTACGCCGAACTTGAGAGTGAGTATGATCAATGGAACGAGAGCAGAGAGGGGTCCATGAGTCGCTGGACCAATTTCGCCTAAGCAAAGATGGCAATCGCGCGTAGTGGGGCTGGTGATGAACGAAGACGATCTATCGCAGTATGGCCTATGGCCACAAGTTCGGCTCGCTGTGACGGAAAACTAGGTATTTTACGACGATGTTCACGATTCGAGAGCAGAGGTCTGGAATGCGAATGAGGGAAGATCCAGTTGGGGTGGTGACTTGAGTGCCTCCCATCGAATCGACTTCGAAAGGTTGATGGTGTTGATTTTTCTTTCGTCAGCCGGTCTCAGTGAGTTCGCCTTCATCGTTTCGCCCGTGCATGCCGGCTTCCTCTGCAGCATCAAGGGGGTTCCGTCTACAAAATCCCCATGAGCGTCGGCGTTCCGTTTCTCGTTTCAGTTCGATGCTCGCAAGTAGGAAAGGTAAGAAAACAGCGCATAAAAGGTCAAGTGCGGTGTGAAGGTGGTGGTTTCTGAGCCCCACAAGTCGAATCAGGGATTGATGAGAGTTGCCAGGACCCCGTGGAGCCCGAACGCACATCCTCCCCCCGAATCTGCCGCAAACTTAAAAGCACAGGGTGAAGCGCAGCGATGGCGGTCCTCGTGCTGCGGAAGCGTGCTCATGCGTATCCGTGCGCAGGATGTACCAATGCCAGCATATTTTGTTGCTGTGAAGGTTGCCGCTGATGCCGCCGCGTTCCCAACCACTGACGCTCGACTACATAGACTGCTCCATTATGGCCGAAAAGGAGACACCACCTGTAGTGACTGGAACTCGCCCTCCACCATCTGTCACAATCGCCGAGCCACTTCTCTCCTCATACCTCTATTCCACCAGCGATCGCAAGGATATCACCGAGGAGGAAGAACAACTGAAGCGCGATAACTGGATTATGGGGATCGATGAAGCTGGCAGGGGGCCAGTGCTAGGTGAGTATCCACAGATGAGTTTATATCAATCCAAGGCTCGGGTCGCAGTGCTGACTTATGGGGTTCAGGCCCGATGGTATATGGCGCTGCGTTTTGCACCCAGGCATTTGCAGAAGACAAATTACTCGACTTGGGCTTTGCCGATTCGAAGACTTTGACCCATAGACGGAGGGAGGAACTGCTGGAGATGATCGTACATCCCCCCGCGGACCAACCCCTCAATGAACGAGTTGAATGGAATGTCAAGGTCTTAACACCAGCTGATATCAGTCAAGGAATGAACCGACGATCACCATACAATCTGTAGGTGCACATACACATCAAAAATGGCACGTTAGCAGGAGGAAAGAGGCATATCTGACAAATCTCTGTTTCCTACTTCGTGCTTGATCTGCTCCGGAAACATGCATGCAGTAACGCCCAAGCATTCGATGCGACTTGTGAAATCATCCAGCATGCTCTGGACCTTCAATACAATCTCCAACATATCTATGTTGATACCCTTGGTCCCCCCAAAACTCATCAGATGAAACTTGAACAATCCTTTCCCGGAATCAAATTCACGGTTTGCTCGAAGGCCGATTCAATCTACCCAATAGTGGGAGCGGCCAGTGTTGTGGCTAAGGTGACCCGAGACGCCATCGTTTCACATTGGATCCACCCTGAATCAACTCATCCTCAAAAAAGGAAGTCTAGTCAAGAGGATGAGGATGCTACCACCTCCTTGGGATCTGGTTATCCTTCTGGTTAGTACTCGTTATGACCCCAAATCACCAGGCCTATCATCAGTGTAATGGCCCATCACGATGATGGAGAAAAAAAAAGCATGCCAAGCCAATTCCTTGCTAACTCCTTGAGGCTTGAGCAGACCCCAACACAGTAAAATGGCTAAGCGAAAACTTCAACACTATCTTTGGATTTGGACAACTTGTTAGATTCAGCTGGGGTACAGTCAAAACGCTCTTGGCCGATCGAGGGCCTGCATTCAGTTGGTACGCTACCCTATCTTCTATGTCGAACTTTTCTCCATCTGCTGAATTTGTTTTTCGATCCCAACCCCTGGAAATCATGTTTAGGAATGACGAGCCAAGTATCCAAAAATGGCTTAAACCGGTTTCGCAATGTCAAGCAGAGACTGCCCCTGTTGGGTTCTGTCAAGATCTGGGCTTGAGATCGGTAGACTCTCTTTGAGTCGTGGTGGTCACTCACCTCTTTTCCCGTTGGGCGGCTCGCATGTGGAAAATGCTGAATATGTACTTCTATAAGTTCTTTTTTCATTCCATGCACAAAACCTTATTTATTTTGCTCTCGTGGCCTTGTATCCTCCCACTCGTTTCGCAAATTTCACATGCGTCAACTGTTTTTTTTTTTTCTTCGGGGCTCAGACGAGCATTTCCAACGTTTATTGCTTGTGGGTCCAACACTGACATAGTAAGAAATGAAGTAATGTCAAGTTAATGAGCACTTGACCAATACTCAAAAATTCAAGTTCCTTCCCAACGCCGTCCTTTCAACCTTGGTGATGACCAACTTCTACATGTGATTTTGATCAGTTTTGATTTACTTGACTTCAATCTGCCGCATGAACGCAAATACTACAAAACGATGAAATCATTTTGACAGCGGGGAAATATGATGGGGCAGCGGGTAAACATGACGGGGGCATAGCAGTCTCAGAGGTAAGTTTTGGGTAATGGTACACTTCACACACCCGTTCTGATTCATGTCAGAACTTGTCGCTGCCATTCGGCATTTGAGATGAAGTTTTTTTTGGAAGAATTAAGTTTTCCTAAAAGAAGGGTTTTGATACAAAGGGAAAGGTGAAATCGGGTCGGGAGGCTTGTATTTCCGATTATCGCTTGGTTTATCATTATTAAGAAGTTCTACACGCGGAAAAAAAGAAAAGGGGTTTACACGAACAAACAAGAAAAATAGGGTTCAAGAAATTTGGTGTTGTGTCTATCAAGAAAGTGAGATTATGAAAAGTAAAGGTCCGTGTTACAACCAGCACCGCCAAATTTGGGCTAGCATTTGTGGTGTTAGAAGGAGAAAAACACCGGCATATCATTCTTGAGTGTCATGAAGTGGGGACCTAGAATCGCTGGATTGCGTTGACCCATGATTGCCCTGGTCGTAGAGCCGAAGTAGATCATTGAAGACGTGCGACGGCCTGCGGAAGGGTAATGGTAACGTCTTTGGGACCTTTGGAGGTGGAGTCACTTGTTCTTCGGCTGATTCGGTTTCAATGACAAATTCCTCATCTGGGTTTGTCTCTGGTTCTACTTCCCATTCGACTTGGCCCACCAATTCCATCTCTGAGTATGTCAACAAAGGACTAATTGCAGTGCTCGTCAGCGACATGGAAGATGCCTTAAAAAATTGCATACCACATACCTGTCAGACCCAACTCTGCCCAAGATGCTCCTAGACCAGGCATCCGTGTCATCGTACAGTTCGTAAATATCAACGGTTAGGAAATCACGGCTGTGAGACCTCAAGAGTCCTTCGTCGTTCGACCAATTCGATGGTGCAAAAGGGGAAAGCAAAGACCTGTTGCCAGCGGTGTAGACCATCAGAAGATAGACGACCAGTACTTTGATCACGAGGTGGTCCAGGAGAATGAAGCGGATTGTGTGTAAACTGTGAATTTCCGCGATTTCAGAATCATTATGCAATTAGTCTAGTGCAAAAAAGCATTCTGCAACAGAAGGCGGATGATATTGGTTTTCAGAGCACTAACAGTGAGTGGAGAATGTGTGGTTGGCCCCTTCTGTCCCGAGAATCGTATTTTGGTGGTAGGTCTTCTTCAATTGGAGACAGCAGTGAAGAATAGTACCCCAGTACCTGGGATTTGGCTTTTTCATCGAGCGGCGACGCGCCGTTTTGGCACAAAGATGATTCCCAAGTTATCGCGGGCTTCTCTTCAGTCCAAACGATGCAATCACCGCTGGCAGGTGCGTTATCGGCGAATGATGGTGGGTTCATCTTTCCTGATGCTTCACGAACTCTGTGAGGGCGACGAAAGCGTACAACAAGTAGGGGTGCAAACAGGTTAGGAAAAATGCCATTCTTTCGTTGAAGAATCAGGTGATGAAATTTACCTGTAAATATATTAGAAAAAAGGGTCTGAAAAAAGTTGCCAAAGGAGCTTGAGGATCTTGCGCAGGTAAAGTGCAAGTCGTAATTAGTGGTGAGTGCTGCGGTACTTGGTCACTGGGTCGAAAAGGATCCTTGGGTCCTCTGGCCAACCGCGTGAAAAATTGCTTTTGAAAAAAAAAAATCTAACTCTCCTCGGTTACCAAGAAAGAATTTGTAGGTTTGAAGATGAAGTAGAAGGGTGCCCGTCAACCGGTAACAGGATGCAAATGCTGCGCTGAGCTTGCTATGTAAAGTGTATGCACTGGGAAACAAGAAAAGAAGAACGATGCCAATTATGCCCAAATAGAAATAAAGCCTAGGAATAAGAAATGTAAGAAAGCTGTAAATATGTATGAAGGGCGATGAAATGTGGTATGAACACGCCACCTTAAAGTACTTCGAAGGATGTATGGTTTGGTCCGCACAGCCAATGCCACAATGGCATGGATATGTTGAGATGTGTTATTACTGTAATAATTCGCCCACGGGTCAAGCCAAGCGATATAGCTCGTGACTGCATCGGTGCGTGACCACCGTGACTGCTTGATCGTCCCGGCAACGAGGACTGAGGGCCAGCCTCTTGACCGATTCGTCGTGGCTCCTCATGTCCGCCCCATGTCCTCCACCTGCGGTTGCCATCACTATGACTGATGAGTCAGCCCGATATGAAGAACCACTGATCCCCGCTGATCCAGTGTAGTTTTCAGTTGTTTCCTCAGAGCTCACTGTACGACCGTAGGCACGGTGACATATTAGATGCAATGCCCGGCTATGCCCGTCCAGCGTCTTGACCGATTCGTCATAGCTTCTCGTTTCTCAAGTTCGCCATTGGCCGTGCGTTGGCGCATGGGTGAGACTATCCCGATAAATCTGGATCAGCAATCATTGCGACAAGAAGAAAAATAAGTAAAAACTTTGGCGAAGCGTAAACATACACCACGGGTGCACCCATTGGTTCCTGAGTCGTTCTCAAGAACCATTGGAGTTTTTGAGTCGTCTTCCAAACCAAATAGGTTCTGAAGACGACTCCCAAACCAATCTAAGGTTTGGACTCAAAAAACCTTAAAGCAAATGGTTTTCAAGTCGGCTTGAAAACCAGTGCAGTTCTGAGGTCGACTTGAAAACTCGAATTGGTATTCAAGTGACTTCCGGACCTACACCGTGTTTCAGCGATTGAAATCAGCGGGTTTTTGACGTCGGCTTGAAAACCAACTTCTCAAGTTCGTTCTCAAGCCGGCTTGAAAACCAACATGGTTTTTAAGTCGACTTGAAAACTAGCATGGGTTTTCAAGTCGACTTGCGAGCCACACCAGTTTTCGAGCCGTCTTGAAAACCAATGCAGGTTTTCAGGTCGACTTGAAGACCAGCTTCCTTCAGCGGTCCTCAGGGTTTTCCGACCGGAGCAACACACCCTCCCCTGAGTGGGGTGGGGCCCCAAGCATCAAATTTGATAAGTCAGCATCTGCCCTCATTGGACCGACCACCAGTCCCACCCCCCACCCACTTGGACAGCCACCATGAGCTTAGAACTTCCCCTCCTTTATTTTTCTTTGCTTGACTCTCCTCCTTTCTCCATCTCCCTAGCACTTTTGAAGTAGGGAAAGAGTGATCGATGATGTGTTTAAATAGTCTAACGATCTCGCTACTCTCAACATAGGCAGTTATGGAGTCTGAATGGCTGTTGTTCGAGACAAATGGGAAGCACTGGCATCTTTCTGTCTTTTTAAGGTCGGTTTCTTTATCTCAATATGAAAGGGATCACTGATGTTATTTGATCTTTCAAGCTCGCCTCACAGGGTCTGGTACTCTACATTTATGAGTATATTAAGCTACATACTCCAGGCCGACTTGGGACTAGGCCTGGTTGAGAAGGATGATGCCTTTGCCAGCAAATTAAGAAAAGCGAACTGATCTTGCTATTCCTTGATACCTTGACTGACAAGCAAAAGTTGAAACCGAGACCTTTGAAACCACTCAACTAAGATGGATTGTTGAACACAATCATTCTTCCTTTTTGTAAATTGATTCCTTTTTTACCGATTGTTACACAAACCTGTCTTTGCTTACCAATTACATCCAATGTTTTTCACTGCTCTTTTCCCTTGTCTCTTATCTTCTCGCTCCTCGGCTTACATGATTTATCACATTTTCTTCATCATTATTTTTAAATGAAACAAGTATTGTCCTACAAATATTGTCCTCCTTGATTCCTGGAATCAACCGTGCCATGATGCGCTTGCCGGTCAGGGCAGCCCCTGTCATTGGGCCCTTGAGAAACCTTCCCTCCCCCCCGAGTGCGAGTAGAGAGATAAAAAAGTTTCAGGCTCAAATCAAAAGCAACTCCAATTAAATTGGTTTGGTCAGACGCTTCCAAGTCGATTTGGGAACGACCTTGAAGCAAGTCACAGGGTGAGTTACGGAAGCCCATAGGGGACTCCAATCGGCTCACGTTTTTGAAAAATGAAAAATGAAAAACTAAAATACAGAATGCTGTATTCTATTTAAAATACTATGTATTTTCATATTCCTGAAACTGATTTGTGTTTCAGCATTTGGAAATCGGAAACCCGAGAAGAAGTTTTTCACATCAGACTTCCCCCATTAGCAAAAACATAAGGGGAAGTCCGACTGGTCATCAAACGGGTTTCGTCCCCAACTACATATGTAATTGAAAATGGACAAGTTGAATCGGCATGCTATATGGGGTCAAATGCAGCAGGCATCTGGGCTGTGCAACTTAAGGGCAGCTTTCTTCAGTCCATTACCAGAACACCAGCGACCATCTCATTGTCTCCAGATCATCATGGTCACCTGCTTGAAGTGCACCAGATTTGTCACCCAGGTCGAGTTTGGTTGGTGCCGTGAATGTCTTAATTTCGTTGGCCTTATGCCTGGAAATATGGCTAACCAGTTACCCAGTCAACCAGCAAATCATTACAACATCATCCCTCCAGCCCCCACATCGTCCATACTCCAAGTGCCTCCCGCGATTCCAACTCCACCAGCAGCTAGTTTGGCCCAGTGCGCTGGTACCAATGCGTATTTACGCAACGTTGGCAAGGCAAAACGTACAAAAAACCCGGCTCCAACCCCTTACTCCAGAAACCCAAAACCCTCAACATCGGCACCACCAGCTGAAAGTCCGATCCGAATGTTTAAATGTGGGATCTCGTTCTTCCAGGACGAAAAGCTGAAGAAGACTGGAATGATGAGCTATATGCAGAATATAGACACAAGCATTCCAAAATTATACGAGACCCTTCAACACCAATTATGGCTGTTGTTCTCTCCCGAGCTACTACGCAAAGGATTGGTTGAATCGCTTCCTAGCATCGTGGTTGACAAAAGTTGACAGACCAAACCCTCCAGGCCCCTGAACAAGCTATGTAGCCGGCACTAGTCGGCACCAAGGGACCGAAACACCAATTTTGGTACACGGAGGGGGGAAATCCGATGTGAAAAACTTCTTCTCGGGTTTCCGATTTCCAAATGCTGAAACACAAATCAGTTTCAGGAATATGAAAATACATAGTATTTTAAATAGAATACAGCATTCTGTATTTTAGTTTTTCATTTTTCATTTTTCAAAAACGTGAGCCGATTGGAGTCCCCTATGGGCTTCCGTAGTGAGTGGTGAAGTCGCCTTCAAAACGACTCGCGGCTGAGGACGTTTCTGAGTCGGTTTGGAGGCGACAGCGCTTCGGCTCCAAGGCGTTCAGCTAGCCGCCTCTGAGTCGTCTTCCAGGCGCAAACGTCTAAACGTTCTGGAAGCGTTTTCAGCTTGCTGGGTGTGAAACGTTTGCCAGGCGTTCCACCCAGTCGTTTTGGAACCGTTTTCGTGCACCCGTGGTGTAACAGTAGTTACAAACGGTCTGAGAACCGACCGATCTGAAGAATTAACGAGCAAAAGTACACCACGGGTGCACCCAATGGTTCTTGAGTCGTTCTCAAGAACCATTTGGGTTCTCGAGTCGTCTTTAGAACCAAATTGGTTCTGAGGACGTTTCTGAGTTGGTTTGGAGGCGACAGCGATTCGGCTCCAAAACGCTCAGCTAGCCGCCTCTAAGTCGTCTTCCAGGCGCAAACGTGTAAACGTTCTGGAGGCGTTTTCAGCTTGCTGGGTGTGAGACGTTTGCCAGGCGTTCCACCCAGTCGTTTTGGAATCGTCTTCGTGCACCCGTGGTGTATCAGGAAAACTGTCTTAGAGAATTATGATTAACATGAGCGACAGTCACACTAGGGCCTTCTCGATCTGCTACTCTACCGGCGGTCATACCGTGCAAATTATACCTGCTGGTCGGGGATAAATTATCCTCGTTGAGTACCGAGGGGCCCACCCTCTGTAGAGGAATCTTCCATACTAAATGGACGCAAGGTGCCCCCGCTCGCCGGAGAAGACTCCTCCATGGCGAGTGGGCACATACCGGTTAATTTCCAGGGTAGACGTATTCATCCATCCCTCAGCAAGCAAGGGCACGGTGGTCGCCAACAATAATTAAATTTGGGAGGGGCGTGGTAGCATAAATCTCTCGCTGAGGAGCTTTCTTCGGTGAGCGGGGATAGGCCCCTCTTGGTTGAGCACCTTGCCCCTGCTGGACTCCGCCTGCTAGGACTCTCCGGGAAAAAAAATTGTCCCGGCTAGCAAGTGTGAATACTTGCCGAGGAGGAAACTTCCTCGGCAAGCTAAAGCATACCTAACGGCGTGTTGAGGACGATGGACGAGCCGCACTGCCCGGTCACCGGTTCCCTTTGCGCAAGTTCTCCTGCTGAAAATGCTTACGTTACAGAATCAAGATGTAAGAATGCTTACGCTGCTAGTCACATTGCCCCTTTGAACAGATAAGAAAAATGATGAAATCAACCACCATCAAAGCGATTGTCACCTCGCGCATGTGGACGATTTCATTTTAAGATTTGAATTCATGAAAAATCCAGCAATCCTATCATCCTATCAACTATAACAGATTACCAACTACTCACGTGGCCGACCAGCAAAACTGTACTTAATTGAGACAAATCCCTCGCTTCACAGTACCTCCACACCTCGGCCCATGAAACAATGGGATGGTGTTAAGAACCTTAGCTAGGCCCCAAACATACAGTTTGCACCTACATGCATCTGTGTTTGGTCTAATAAAAAGAGCATTATGTAGAAAGATTAGAAAGAGTATGGTATTAAGTTTTCCGCTAGATACAGTTTCATATGAAATGTGGATCATTCATGTAGACTCAGATGTCAAACTAGAGTTTCAAAATCCAATGAAAACATCTTCCATAAAAGCTTCTTGCATCATATTTCCTGCCAAAGATTTATACCCTCCAGGTCTTCTGCAAGGGCTGTAGATTTGAAAGTAATGTCCTTCACTATCTAATGTTCAAGCAAACAAGTGCCAGGGTACCTGAGAAGTGAAGATGAAATTCTACAGTGGAAAATTGCTTTGTGGATCATGAAAGATGGTGCTCTTTTTTGCTTTTCTTAATTTTACTGTTATCATTAGCAGGTGGTTGAAGGTCCCTTAAACATGATATCAATCACATATTACAAGGCTGACAAAGCAAGCCAATTACTGTAGATAGTGATCAGTTCAAAGGTCAATCACAATTCACTCTCATTGGCTTCAAATTTAAGTTTCTATTCTTTGTGGTACATGTGATTTTCAACTGTGCTGATGCTCAACTTGATATATTATAGGCCAAAATGTAGGCTCTTTTTGGCAGTGATGCATATATTGCAAAATCTTGTAAAATATAATGAGGTTTTGGTGGAACTGATTAGATGTAAGAAACCCTAAATTGGATCTGCACTTGTTCACACAAATGAAGGGGTTCAAAGACCAGAGATGATCTGGGAAAAGACTAACTTGGAAACAGCAGTGATGTATGTTGGGAAGGATGAGGAAAAGGAGTTCCTTCCCAACAGCTGCCTTCAGTATATAAACTGAGAGAAACAACAAGAGATGTTACAGTCTGTATCATGTAGAGTGAAATACAGAAGCAGACCAGAAACAATCAGAGGAAAATGAGTAGATATAGAGACTCTACACATGGCTACCTCAACAATAAATTGCTAGCGCCATAGAACAATGGTTAGTGTTCTCTACTACAAATATGATGCTTCAAGAAAAGAAAGAATGGAAAGAAGGAAAAGGAACAAGAAGGAAAGAAGAAAGGAAGATTTAAAATGGCTCACCTAGCTCAATAGAACAATGGTTAGTGTTCTCTACTGAGCTAGGATTGTTGGGGCAATTGAAAATCCAAGTAGCCAGAAAGTCTCAATGATTATGTGAGCATGTGTGATTGTTCAGTGAAAACCAGGTGTGGGTGTGTTTTTTTGTTCAAAACCCGTTGGGGTTGATGGAGGTGGATTTTGGAAACCCGTCAATTAATAATCGTGGATTTCAAAAAAATAATTGACGGGTTTGCAAAGGTGGATTTGCTATATTTGATACCCCCTAATATGTTGCTTGGATTTTTTTTGCTGCTAAACAAGGTCTTGAGTGTACTTATGAAAGAAAGATGGTTAGCACAGCTGAAACTCTACAGAAAATATTACATCCTTGTGCTTTACTTAGAGCATCTTCACCGCAGGCCCTATAAACCTCAAGTAGGGACTAAAAGGACGAGATAGTGCCCAAGCCAATCAACCTTAAAGGTTGGTGAAAGCTAATTGGCAAGGGTGTGCTTGAAAGGTTCACACGGGATAGGGGGATCAGACAGACCCTATTGAGTCTGTATACATACAGCTTGATAGGGAATTGCAACCCTTGTCCCTATTAAAGGGCCCCACATAGGGGCCACAGTGGCTGTGGTTTTGGGACTCTTGATCCCTATATGTGGGATAGGGACTGCAGTGGAGATTCTCTGAGGCCTTGTTTGGCACCAATATAATCTAGAAATAGAATGTGGATTCTTGTGACATCTGATGAAGTTTAGGCAGACCTGATCAAATATCACATAGGATGTCAGGCAAAATTTGCCATATATTGTTACCAAATAAGACCTTAATGAGAAAAGAAAGTGAGATTTGGAAAATCAGTGTCCATGGTACAGATCATCTACACAAACCCTTTTTCACAACTTGCATCATGAGCATGCAATCAATCCCATCAATTATCTTGGAGTTTTTCTTCTGGGTCAAGGATGCAGTGGTTGCTGAGTTGAGCTTTTATTGCAAGTGGTGACTATCAAGTGTTCCTCATGATAATTATAGCCCACCATTACCCATGTAATTCCTTTTTGGTACTTTCCCTTGAACTCAATGGCATACACATTAAAATATACAGTGGGTGAACCAAAGTTCATGTCCCACTCTTTTACAAAGCCCAAGTGGAACTCATGGACTTCTACGAATGAGGTCTGTTGAAAATGGCTTCTAATTAAGGCTGAATTGAATACAAGAAATCAAAACAGCAGCTCAAAAACCTTCCATATTTGCTCTCAGTTGATTGCACTTTTTTAAAAAGGGAAAAGCTGGATTGATACAATGGTAGACCAACTAAGCTAACCGTGGAGTAGCTAAAATAAGCTAACATTTAGTGTTGTGTTATCACAATTCCAAAAATCTACACTAACACTAAACGTGCAGGGTGCCAAAGCTTGTTAGATTTTAGCGTAGCGTTAGTGCAATTCCACACATCGGTGTTAATGCTATGTGCACGGGGAGCAAAAAATCACCAGCTATGCTGCACTACTTGTAATTTTTTCTGCTAAAAGTTCTGTAGCATAGCTTAACACATCTTAGCTGCAGTAGCGGAGCCCTAGAACTACCCAAAGAAAGATGTGTTGTTAGTGCCGCTACAAAGTAGTGCAGCATAGTGGGAGGAAGGGCATGCTAACACTACACCAAAGATAGCCGCTGCTACCTCCACTAAGCTAACACAAAAAGGCCCTGTAGCATAGTGGCCCACCATTGATTGATAGGAATTCTGGTTTGGAGGATTTTGATGAGTTATAATTTGAAAATGGGAACCAGCTGTTATTCTTAAACAGCCTGGGTGGGAGTGCATCATTAATTGGTCTAACATGGAAGTCAGGATTCATTTTGGGGGTTGGAAAAACGACTCCCAAAAATTAGTCGACGACTCCCGTTTTGGTTGAGGGGTCGTCGGCTGGGAGTCGTTCTTCCAAAAGATGGCCGACTTTGGGAGTCGGCCATCAAATGTTTTTTTTATTTTTTTAATTTATTTTTGGGGAGTCGGCGCCCCAAACCGCCCCTCATGCTTAAGGGGGTTTGGGAGTCGTCGCTCCCGCTCCCATGACCGACAAGAAAAAAAAGTCTTATCGATCGGAAGGGATTCCTTCCGGTCGATGAGGGTGTTTT